CGCAATATAATTAGCGTGGGATTACAGAGAGAGAGAGGTATTTCGCGTATTGAGGGTGAATACCATTTTTACTAAAGCAAGAAACCCAGTTAAAACAACTCCAAACCTCTACACTACAACCGCAACTGTACATCATCTGGAGCAGTTCAGACTCAATATTTATCTAATAACATGATAAAAACATACAAAATTTTAATTAAATACATCATACTCACCAGAGATGCTATTTATTTATAGACAAAATCCATCCTCATGGAGGTGATCTCTGTATTCTAGTTTTGCTCTGACCAACCAATCAGAGGACGGAAAAATGCTGACGTCATTGTGGGCCAGCTAGCTGGCCCTGTGAGGCGAATTTGAAATCTGATTGGTTAAAGAAACAGTCCCATTGCTAATATAGTTTAAGTTACATGGGCCAGCACTTCTGATTCTGAAGGCCCTGGGCAGATTAGATTGACATGGCAACACATAGAGGCTGAAATCTGATTGGACAAAAAAATCTAACATCCACATACACGTACTGGAAGCGGTGCAGCCAAGAGAAACGCTACGAAATGAAGAGAATAGACTGTTGGGAATAAATTAATACAATTTCATGAAACAAATATTATAATTTAGGTTGTAAATGTAGGTCATTGCTTCTGATAGTGTTTAGGCCAGCAGAGAAAGCCTTGCTGGCCCTGACTGCCCACCACTGCTTGTATCCTGTTTTGCATCTGCTTAGAAAATGGATGGATGGATCGATCTTCACCAAAGTCACAAATATCAACAAACACAATTTTTCAGCTGATAGAACACAGACAGTCCTGATCTTTCTTGACTTTATTGAACACACCCATTCAACATACAAAGTGATGGTGGCAGCAGTGTTTTAATAACAGGGTGAACTGCATTTGGCAGCAATAACCTCAAGCTAGAGCTTCCTATAGTTGTGGATTACACCTGCATGATGTTCAGAAGGAATTCTGGACCATTCTTCCTGACAGGACTGCTTCAGCTCAGCCTTATTCTTAGGACGTCTGGTGTAAATGGCTCTCAAGGTCATTCCACAGTATCTCTATTGGGTGGAGGTCTGAGCTCTGACTGGGCCGCTCCAAAAGGTGGATTTTGTATCTCCAAAGCCATTCTGTAGCAGGTTTACTTCTATGTTTAGGGCCATTGTCCTGTTGCATCACCCACCTCGTTCTGAGCTTCAGCTTGCTGACAGCTATCCTGACATTATCCTGTAGGATACCTTGATAAGCTTGGAAATTAATTTTCCTCTCCACAATGGCAAGTGGCCCAGGTCCAGAGGCAGCAAAGCAGCCCCACATTATGATGCTCCTTCCACTGTACTTCACTGTTGGGATGATGATTTCATGTTGGTATGCAGTTCTTTTTTTACACCATACATAACACTGTGTGTTCTTCCCAGACTATTATACCTTTGTTTTATCTGTCCACAGGACATTTTCCTACTACTGTTGTGGAGTGTCAAGGTGGTATCTGGCAAACTTCATGTCTGCTGCAGTGTTGTTTTTGGAGAGCAATGGCTTCCTCTGTGATGTCCTGCCATGGATACCATGCCTGTTCAATATTTTATGTATGGTTGACTCATGAACAGAGATGTTAACCAACTCCAATGAATCTTTCAAGTCTTCAGCTGTTACTCTAGGGTTCTTTTTTACCTCATTGAACATTCTGCGTCGTGCCTTTAGAGTGATCTAGGCTGGGCGCCCACTTCTATGGAGGGTAGCCACCATCCCAAATCATCTCCATTTATAGACAGTATGTCTGACTGTGGACTGATGAATACCTAAAGACTTTAAGATGACTCTGTGACCCTTTCCAGCTACATGGAAATCAACAACTCTTGATCATAGGTCTTCTGAGATCTCTTTTTTTTTGTGAGGCCTGTTGCACATCAGCTGATGCTGCTTGTGAATAGCACACAGACACTGTCTGAGTGTTTTTATAAGTCAAGGTCATTCTAAACCACACCTCCATTCTCATTTCATTGATTGGACTCCAGGTTTACTAACACCTGGCTCCAGCTGTTGCCATGATTTTGTCCATGTCAGGTTTGCCCGGCTGCACCTGCCTATCTCCATTC